TTCTGCGGTTTTGTCTTTTAACGCTACTAGAGTAATAAATTTTGAGAATTGATCTTGAATTGAAAATATGTATTATTATTATTTTTGAAATCTTGAATAGCCCCATTACATCCATGGTAACTTTATTGAATGGTTGAAAGGCGTATCGGTTAAAGTCATTGGTTGTCTCGTTGGTTTACATTTTAATTTATTTCTTTCACATTCCTGGTACATGAAAATTTTTTTTTTGTATGTCATTTTTAAATTTTCTTAGTAATATTTATCTTCAATGCTATTGTAAGTTCGATATGTAAGTTTAATACTTGAATGTCCTCCGAGTATAAAAAGTTGTATACTTTTAGATAGTTCATTTCTGTAGTCTAAATCATCCATATATTTGATATGATTCATGCTAATGGTGATTTTAATATTACTTCTTTTGAAGATTGCGTTGATTATATCTTCTATTTCTGATCGCCATATGTTTTTATGTCAATATTTTTTTGAATGCTTACCGTTGAAATATCATTTTGTATTAAAAGGTTTTACAAATTTTCAGACAACCTGTTTAAATTTTGTTTTCCTATTTTGTTAATGTAAGAGCGTTTAAACATAAGACGAACATTTTCCGTTTCCTAAAATTTAATCCTTCTATTTTATTTATAGATAAACTTTGATTTAGTTTTAGATTTTTTTATTAATATATTATATATTAATAGTGTTTTCATCTAGTCCTTTATGTTTCTTAGAAATTGTATGAATTATGTTATTGTTCCGAAATTGTATTGAATTTTTACTGTATACATTGTGTTCGCTATTACAGTCTGTGTTGATTCTGTCTTTAATGAGATGTTTATTCTTTTGTTTTGAATGTTACTGATGTTGCTGAGCTTACGTGTTCGTTTTCGTTTATTCTTTTGTAAATTCTTTTGTCATTTATAATTTTTATTTTATTGTTGTTACTTAATGTTTGGATTGGTATTGATTGATCTTTTAAATTTGCTCACTGTGCTCGCATTGTCACGCATGTTTTGATTTCTATAGTGTTCCTCGATAAACAGTGAGCTAGGCCGTTTTCTTTGCCCAGGCAGTAAATTATATTCAAATCATAATCGACAAATTTTAATTGCCATTTTTGTACCCTACTATTATTATCGGCTGACCTTAATAAGAGTAGAGGTTTGTGGTCGATTACTACGGTAAATTTGTTATCAAATAAGTAAGTTCGAAATGTTTTGTTGTGAAAATTATTCCAAGGGCCTCTGTTACGTGACGCTTCATTGTATTATTTTTTTTATTTTGTCAAATAATATTTCGGACCCGAGACTTCCGTTCGGACATAGTATAATCAGCAGTATTCGTGTGCGCGACTCGGTGGGAACGTGCGGCAGAGGCTGATTCACGCTGCGCCAGCATGCTGCGACGGCATGCTTCGGTCAGCGTGCTTAGCTAGGTAAGACGATCCGATACGAGAAGCGTAAACGTTTAAAGTATATGTGCGAGAGAGAGACGAAAAGCGAGGGACAAAAGATATATAACGAACCGGCGTAAACAACGAAACCAATCCTTAGTCAGTCAGGAATCAGAGCTCGACTAAGAGCTCCCTGCAAGAGTTTGAGAATATTATAATAAAATTATATCGAAGTGCCGAGTATCGTTATTTCTAACGACCTTTTATTTGCTATTGGAATACTATTGGAATACTATTGGAATACTATTGGAATACTATTGGAATACTATTGGAATATTATTGGAATATTATTGGAATATTATTGGATAAAGAAAATATATTGGACCAGCTTATTGAATTAATTCGAAACCAGTGATTACCTATAAAACGAACCTAACAATATCTCGGACCTAGACGACAGAGTGAGTACTTTTGAGCTCTATCCTCGATAAGGTGAAATCTCTTCCTTATCGTTATTTTATTATCTCTCTCTCTTCGCTCTAATATTACTAAGCATAATCAAGGTTCCCCTTTCGGTGAATCCACATGATTGCGTACCGGGACCAAGTGTGTAAACACCGCTGACCGCGTAAACTAAAATATTTATTTTAATAAATCGCGAACCACATAGTAGCGCGATATTATTATTAGAAGTATTATTCGACGTATTAAAATATATATATATATAAACTTATCTAACATACCGGCGTAAGTTCATTTAAGTCAATCGGCGAAGCCCCCCCTCCCTTTTTCCCGCCTGATTACTGCCGCCTGGCTCTCGCAAGGACGAACTTCGGATATTATCGGTGAAGACGTGATCCATTCGATGACACGGTCGGGGTACCGTACTGAAGGGCTAGTCCACCCGAGTTAGGACCACTCGGAGCTAAAAACGGTCTAACACGCGCCAGTTTTGAAGAGACATCAAAACTGGCACGTAACAGCCTCTCTTTCGTAAGTTTCATATAGTTCTGTTCTGTTTTGTTCAAAACTTGAAATGCATATTCGATAGGTCTATCGTAACCCAATTCTCCTTGAGACAGCACCGCGCTTAAACTATGGTGTGACATATCAGTTCTAACGATATAAGGTTTATCGATCTGAGGATATTGTAAAATGGAAGCTTCACACAGTAAGTTCTTCAATTTATCCAATACTTGTTGTCGTTCTATATTCTAGAAAAATGTTGCATTTTTATGCAAAAGTATAGTCAGAGGTTTTGTTATTTCAGCATCAGCGAAATTCGGAATAAAGCGTATATAATAATTGTAAAGTCCAAAGAACTCTTAAATTTTTTCTAACTTTCGGTCTCGAAAAAACTTCGACAGCTTGTATCTTTCTCTTGTCTAGTTTAATAACAGATTCATTAATAGTTTGCCCCAAAAAGAATATTCAGTTTTTCGCCAATCGCATTTTTGAGGTTCGAATTTTTAACCAGCTTCTCTAAGATTTTGAGCTACTTTGTAAAAACGTTCGTTACTGTTCGTCTACTGTTTCTACAAAAACAATAATGTCATCGATGAAAACAAAACATATTGGTAATTAGATCGCCTAAAACTGTATTAAGTATTCTTTGAAATGTTCTAGGTGAATTTATTAGACCAAATGGTAAAACAAGAAATTCAAATCGCCCTAAAAGGTTTATACTAACTGCTGTTCTAAAAATGTCTTTCGTGTGCATTTTCCCTTAATAAAACCTTGATAAAACCTGATATTAGGTCCACAACATGATAATATTTCACTTTTCCTAGTTGGTTAAATATTTTAGTTATATTTGGTATTACGTATGGATCAGGAGCAGTTTTTTCATTCTATTTTTTGTAGTCAATTACTAAACGTTATCTCGTTTTTTCATCCGCTAAGCTCTTTTTTGTAACCACCCATCTTGGTGCGTTAAAAGTACTTTTTGATTTTATTTTGATGATTGAGAGATGATGAGCAGCTTCATCAGCATAAGTAATCCCGGACTAGATCAGTACCATATTTCTCTCTCTTTCTCTCTCTCTCTCTCTCTTGCATGATTGGGTACCATTCCAGACGTTCCGCGAAGCATGTGACTAGGCAATATTCTCAGTTCCGCCGGATTAACTAGATGTGAGTGCGAAGTATTGGGTGTTCGATTGATAATTAGCCGGTAGTATGCCGTCAATCTTTCTCTGTGCGCGCGCGCATGTGTATATAAAATTTATAATTTTCTTTTTGGTTAGTAGCGGGAGGCTATATATATATATTATATACAAGTGAAAAAACGCACGGTTTAATAATGTTTTTCATATATGTACATCAATGTCACAGTTTGAAAAGTAAATTCCTTAACTTATTAAACGTGCAGTTGGACACGTTTTGTATATCTCTCTACTCATGTTCATAGGTATTGTATTTCAGGGCAAAAAATTCACTGCAGGTTATTCTTATAATTTGCAGTGTGTTCTTTACGATGATAATATTAAAATTATTGAAACATTTAATTTTGAGTTACCAGCTTGGAATCAACTTCAAACTGGTCTAAATCGTGAATATGATATTTGAATCTAAAAAATATGAGGTATTGAAGTCAGTTTGACTAATTACAAAATGGCATCGAAAGTGATTGCACTTTACTACAAAAAGTGTTTAGAATTTACCTAAGAATATACCGAAATTTCTGGTCAATAAGTTACGTGCAACTTTTTTAATTTTACAAATTTTCATTGCACACAAAAAATTGATGTGGACTCTTTGGCTAATTTAAAGTACTTTTACTTCTTAGACATTTTTTTTGTAAAATACTTCATTTTCGAGAAAAGATTTATGAAAATTTTGGTAAAAATAGTACACGTTAAACGCCATTTTGAAAAATGACATATGTGCGCCGATGGACAAATTATTTAAAAAAATATTGTGATAACGTATCATCCACGTTTTGTTTAATTTCATGTCATTATGAATGTCAAAAAATGTCTACAGTCAATAACATGTATAATTACTATTATTTATTATTATTTAATGTTATTTATTAATATTACTTATTATTAATGCGTAGATAGTACAAAGACCGATAACAATTTGTCTTATAGTGAGCGTAGTGCGTATCATTACTAAAACATGAGAAAAAAGCTGTAGATAAAATAAAACTTACAACTTACGAACAATTATAAATAAACAAAATGATAAGTGTCTGAAATACTTGTTTTACGTAAATATGACAGAGTTTACGTTTACGTACAATTTTTGTAACTTTCAATGACATGATGGATTATGTTTTTATATTACATTATAAATTACGTTGTACGTACATTGCCGTTTTCCTATTAATATGATATGACTTGTATATTTCATACAATATTTAAATATATAATCTATTATTATTTTTGATGTCACGGTACATTAATTAAAACTGAATATACATAAGGCTTCCACAGTCTTATCTTTATTTTGTCACAAATGGTAAAAAGTAAAAAAGAAGAATTTTATTCTCTACTTTTGGGATTTTTTTCTCCCAGTCGTAGAAATAGTAGCTTTAATTCATTGTACATAAAATTAAGCAGTTTATTAAACTAAAAAGTTAACATGAATTTTTCATGTTCTTTAGGTATATGCTACACATAAAATGGCGGAATTAGTTACTTTACTTCATCAAGAAATTCCAGAAGGAAGAAATAACCTTAGTGATAGTCATACCAATTTAGAGAGAGTTGCAGATTACTGCGAAGCCAATTATTTTCAAGCTGATAATAAAAGAATTGCTTTGGAAGAAACAAAAAACTATACAACTCAATCACTAGCTAGTGTTGCCTATCAAATAAATACTCTAGCTTACAATTTTCTTCAATTGCTAGAATTACAATCGACTCAGTTATCTGAAATGGAAAGTCAAATGAATCATATTTCACAAACTGTTATGATTCATAAAGAAAAAGTTGCAAGACGAGAAATTGGAGTACTAACAGCTAATAAAATTACTTCGAGGCAATATAAAATCATTGCACCAGCTAATCCTGAAAAACCTATAAAGTACATCAGAAAATCAATTGATTATACTGTTTTTGATGACATTGGTCATGGAGTACGAACGGTAGGGACGCCCAGAACCAAACAACGTGGAGGTAGTCAAAGCAGTGTCCAAAGCTTAGGAGCATCTTCAGTTGCATCAGGAATAATAGCGAATTTAGTAGGACCAGCACCGACTACAAAGCCTCCAACACCACCTCAAGTTGCAAGAACAGGTAACCTTATTGTAAAAATCTAATTAAATTAGTATAATTAGGAAAGTACTTAAGAAATACAATAATTTATAGTAAATAACTAGTTAATAAGATGTAAAACTCATGCAATTTTAGGTGATTATTTCTAAATATGTTTTCATAAATATAATGGGCTATAACGGTGGGTTAAACAAATTATTATTCAACACAATTAAATGATGAATAATTTCTCACCGTCTTCTTATATGCCAAAGATAGGTACATTTCGTGAGACTAAAAATCACCGCGGAAGCGCGAAATAAAGCAAGAGACAAATCAACTTTGAATGTGAATTTTTACTGTGATTATGTAAACATTAACAACAGGGAAATATCAAACGTGACATAAAACGAAAAGATGAAGCATTTATTACCTCTTTCATCAACAAAATAAAAGAAAACGTTCCGATTCAGAGAAGAAAGGGCGGGAGGGAGGGAGACGCACTCATAGGTATTTTGCCTTGCTGATCTTCGCAACGGATATATCAACAAACCTTCATGAGTAGCTAAATTCCACCGTCATCATGAATCTTCAAAGATTACCATCGAGGATGATAAAGGTCAAAATTACCATCAGTACGCTGGCTAGTGGATCGATTTTACCACCGTCAGTGAGACATGATCTGTAAAAATACCGCCGGCTGATCCTGCTCCAAATCATAGCAACACGTACATGCTGGCGTCGGGCGAGGATTTGGCCCTCCGATCATTAGCAGCACAAGGGGGACGGTGCTTGTTTTCTTTGTCTCATACGAGTAATTTCGCATGTTGTCACGAGTGTGCAGGTTAGCCTACAGCTAGAATGCATTCATTAGTTCCGTACCCACTTTTGTTAACGTGAAGCCTGCGCATACTATATAGTATATGAATATATATAAACATATGTAAATATATATAAATATATATATATATATATAAATATATATATTATATATATAAATATATATATATTAAATATATATAATATATATATAATTTCATATACTATATACTATATAGTATATGAACTGACCACAGTTTCAAATTTCGTTTTTCCGTTATTCGTAAAACTTTGAACTTATCTTTTACGATCACTACAGTCTTTAACAACCGATATGTATGGTTGAGTTATATCATTCCTTGTTTGCTTTAGTTTTTTTGCTATAAATGATAATTTACTATGAAAATCGAGATTATACAGAATTACATCGCCCGTTCGCCGTTTCTTATAAACGTTTCCCAACTCTTACCATATAGAGATGGGCAGCCAAGAATCTCTTTTTCAATTTTTAAAAAATTTTTTACATTTTATATTTAAGATAAGTTCAAATATTTTGGTAAAATTAAATTTAATCAAGGTTCAGGAATTTTCATCAACGACAATCTTTGAAAAACTGTGTATTTTTCAAGCTCTCCGGGCACCATATTGAATTCGCCATTAATTAGGTCGTTAAATATACTAGATGTTTGTACATAATTTATCGATCACACTCTGACCGTTTGATCAACAAAATTCCGCGTGTTACTAATTATCTTAGAAGTGTCATGAAAAAATAAGCATTTTTCGGAATACTATTCAGCCATTTTGGAAGATAAAACATAAGCAGCTAGACTAACAATTTTTTTTTTCGTAATCTACAACTATTTTATCTATCTTTGTTCATTATCCATAAAAAGTCTGGGATTATAGGTGTTAATGGGTTAAATTGTACCTTGTAAGTGCATTTGAAAGTGTATGTCGGAAACTTTATCTTATTGAAACTCGGTTCTAAATTTTTTTATTATACTCTATATTTTTCATTTGTTGACGTTAGGAGATATTTCTTCGTTTATTTTACAGTGTCTGTAACACTCTTTTAAATGACAGGAACAGATTGAACAAATATTAATATACGGTGAGGAAAATACATTGTGACGTTAAACGTCCGGTTTGCGCTATCGTTTCGATCGTGTGGCTGCCTCCGAGGGCAGCACCTACCGGCCCGGGGAAGTCGAAAACCGGAACTCGGTCCGAAATAGGACGGAACGCGTGCGAAGAAAGAAGGACCAGTCTAGGAGCAACGCTAGAATCAGTAACAACGTGCGAGTGGGAGAGCGCCTTTGACACCGGTAACAACGTGCAGGAGTCGAGGAGTAACGTGAGATTGAGTAGCAACTAGAGTCTACGAGTACCGCTGGCTTGAACAGCAACGTGAGCAGAGGAATAACTCTAGCACCGATAGTAGCGTGCATGAGTGTGTACGTCGCAAAGAGTGCGAATACTAGACTGCTGATAGTTTTTGTTGTTGCTGCTATCGTGTCAACCCCGCGAACACGCTATCGTAGGCCGGCGGCAAATTTAAGAGGCGACGCTGATTTGCTCCCCCTGATAGCGCGGATAATCGTACAAGGTAAGCTGGCCAGCTTGGCGTTATGATTTTTTGTTAAACGACCGCGCGTATTATTTTAGCTCTTCCCTCACGTCTGCAAATGTAAAGAAATCGGTAGCGAGCGAGCATGCAAGCTAATAACACGAACGAGCTACTGTAAATGAAATGGCGATGCGTAAGATTGTCGCGCACATCGAATAAGCGTAAATGCGCGGGCCAAATGCGTGTAGATTATATAATGAATAAACTAGTCTGTATATGAATGAATCATTAATTTTCTGTTGCCTTTTGCTATTAGTAAGTTGGTTGACTAATACCTGTCTTTTCCCACTCCTCGGTTAGTTAACAAAAATTGATTATTTCAATCTCGTCGCGCGTATTCCGGTACGAACCCGCCTTAGGCGAGACAAAGAAATTAACACGGATTCATACCCCATTACAACATTAAACGAAAATTTAAAATTGTTTTTCTCCAAATGGTCATATTTTTTCCAAATTTTATTATAGAATATTATAAGACTTTCTAACTGTCACTATAGAGATTCTGGATTTCTACGTTTTTTCGGAAAAAAATTCCTTTTCTAAATTTTTTGTCGTTTTCTCAACTAAAAAAGACAGGCAGTTTATTTGTACTGAAAACCTAATTATTTTCTAATAATAGATGATGAATTATAATTCACTGACTGTCACTTGGTCCAACGTCCGAATTCTCAGAGACACTGCCCAGAACTCAAAATAACAAAAGAAAAAAGAGAACAGATTATTGGGCGTCAATGCAATAATGAAAACAAGGATGTATCCAGTTTGGATGAAGAACTCTGAGCGTACGCGCCTCTCATTCGAGATCGTGGCTTCTTTCCTTTCTCTTTCTTTTTTTTCTTTATGACGAATGTTAATCTGCACTGTTGTAATTTTGTCTTTCGCCCTCTCTCACTTACTTGCTATTATCGCTAGGTTATACATAAGAATAAGAAAAGAAAAAATCGAATGAATATAAATACGAGTCATACGATCAATAAGTCTTTACAAAATTCAAGAGATGGCGCTCGTCACGCATAAATTATGATGTTATTGGCAAGACTACTAACTAGATATCGTACAAATTTTCAGAGCGATTCATTAAGTCGTTTTTTTGTGAGCGTTGGTTGAACACAAAGTTATTGGTTTATTTAAAAAATGGAAAAAACAGAGTTTCGAGCGGTGATAAAACATTTTCATTTGAAAGGCCTTACACCAAAAGAAATCACAGGTGAGTTGAACGCCATTCATGGCAAGTCTGCCCCTGTATTTAAGACTGTTTATAACTGAGTAAATGAATTTAAACGCGGCCGTACAACAAAAAAAGATGAACCTCGTTCAGGACACCCCGTAGAAGTGAGTACGCCCGAAATGGTCAACAAAGTCCACGATATAGTATTGAGTGATAGAAGATTAAAATTGCAAGAATTAGTTGAGGCCACAGGGGTATTAAAGGATACAATAATTTTAATTTTGTATGAAAAATTGGGGATGAAAAAAATATCAGCAAGATGGGTGCCGCGTTTGCTCAATGTTGAAAACAAACGAACCCACGTGGTTACCTCTGAGGCTCTTTTGGCACGCGTACGTCATAATCCGGAAAACTTTTGGCGTCAACTCGTAACTGTAAACGAAACATGGGTACATCACTACACTCCTGGAACCAAAGAATAGTCCAAATAATGGATTACCGCAGGAGAACCAGCCCCAAAGAAGGCAAAGACAGTAAAGTTAGCTGGCAAGATTATGGCCACGGTTTTCTGGGATGCGTATGGAATCATCTATGTCGACTACTTGGAAAAGGGCCAGACGATCACTGGGCAATATTATGCGTCATTATTAGATCAGCTGAAAAAAAATTCAGAGAAAAACGTCCTCACTTGAACAAAGTAAATACCTCTTTCTTCAAGACAATGCTCGAGTTCACATGTATGCAGTTTCGATTGCAAAAATTAACGATTTAAAGTTCGAATTAATTGACCATCCACCATATTCGCCTGATTTGAGTCCCAGTGACTTTTTCTTATTTCCTAACTTCTAAAAATGGCTTGCCGGTCAACGATTCACGTCGAATGAAGAAGTCATCGCCGAAACAAATGCCTATTTTGAGGGTTTTCAGAAATCATATTTTTCTGATGGCTTAAAAAAACTGGAAAGCCGTTTAATAAAATGTATCGACCTTCAAGGAGATTATGTTGAAAAATAAAAAAAAATTACATACGCAATACTTTTTTTTCCTTCTTTTTGTAAAGACTTATTGACCCCCCCCCCCCGTATATAATTGTATTATATAAGATAAATAGGGGAAAAGAGCTAAAACGGGTTACATCTCATTCATTGTAGAATATATCGAAATTCATTTAAAGTAAAATTTTTCTTTTTTATCAATACTTTATTAGTGTTATTTAAATACAACATTAGAATAATTTTTTTATCGTCATCAATAAATTTTGTGTCACTAGTAGATGAATCATAGAAACTTAATGACGAATTAATTAGAGATTCATGATATAATATTTCTAATATACAGTTTATTCCAATATTAAAAAAATGTAAATGTTGTATTACAACTTGCTTAAATGTATAAAATCAAGAGAACATTTTTTTAATACAGGAA